AGGTTGGGCAATCTACTTCCATAGTGATACTGCCTTGGAAACCCAAGGAGGGGTCGCTGTGAGTCGGGTCTGACTCGACGGCACATAACAAGAAGAAGAAGAAGCACTTCTTAGTACAATGCCTGGCACATAGTGTATATGAAGTAAAGGTCTGCTGTTAGTATGTCAAAAGTTCTTACAGGGTACAATAGAGCACGAAACAAGCAACAGTCATTTCTACCTGTGGGTGGAGGAGGCAGAGGAGGTGGTGGTTCAGGAAAGACAGCTAGAAAGGAGGAAATTCTTGAATTGAGCTTTGAAATATGAAGAAGAGTCTTCCAAGTAAGCAAGATGAGGTGACAATGAGGGCATTTAAAGGCAGGGAAAGGAGCAGGAGCAAAGATACAGAGGGTTGCAGTGCATTCAAGACACTCAACTCACTGTGGAGCACAGGATACACAGCCAAAGATGAGCCAGGAGAGAAAGCTAAGGCTTGATGATGGAAGGGACATGTTAAGAAGCTTGGACTTTTTCCACTAGGTGATAGAGCATTGTAGAATGGGTATAGCACTTTAGATAGCTAATTCTATCAGTTCTGTGGAGGATTGATTGGGTCAGGAAGACAAGTTAGGACAACATCATCTTGTACATGCTCTTAACTAGGAGAATGAAGGTCTGAATCCTGTTTTTCAAACCACCCACTTTCTAGTTCTTTTAAGTTTGCTAGAAACTTCTGGATAGTGTAGTAGAGGAAGGATTGGACATGCAAGTAGGTTATTCAGTCCAACATGGGAAAAACCACCAATGGGCATAAAGATGAGCACAATGGGAATGGCTTTGCAGATAAAATCTAGTTGGGGCTTCATTGTCAAAGAAGCTGTTCTAATGAGGCTCTCTGGCAAAGCACAGTATACTGACACCCTGTTCACTGGGGAGGAACTGAGGTGTGTTTGAGCCTCTTCTGCTATTTCTTAGAAGTGATGGGGAGAGAGGCTTTTGAGGAAATTGGAATGTGACTTCAAAAAGTTATTTGCAAAGATAATAAAACGTCCTGAGTTGCCAAGGAACAGACTGAATAGATGAAAGGATTGTTGGAATCCTAATGGTAAATCCTAGATGGTAACAGTGAAAAAGAACAAAACTTTATATTATTTATAAATAATAAATTGTATATTGAGTATATGGGTATACTGAGACTGAATAAATACTTGCAAGGCCCAATTTGAGTTTGTCAGGCATCTAGTCTTGTTTTTTATCTTTGGTACTAATTTTATTGGATTAGCTTGAGAAAACCAACAGCTCTCTGAACAACCCATATCATTTCTACATGGTTTTCTGATACCTTGGAGTGTTTGGCAACCATGCATCCCATGAGATGGGCTCCATTATCTTTTACTACTGACCTTTCTGCTCAAGCCTGGTGCCCCTTTTCAATCCCATCCTTTTCTGCTTGGCCTTGGCCTGCTCAGGATACTTCCCCTCTATAGTCCCTTCCCTGTCTTGCACCTCAACTCCCATTTTCTTCTGCATTCGTATTAGCTTCATCCTTGAGCCCTTCAACATTGGGTAAAGATTTTGCTTTCATTAACTAATTTCTTTCAACTTAAGATAAAATTGGTCATTTGTGTTTAAACAAGTATTTTATTTGGTCATGAGTATCATTCTATGAATTTTTAAAGGCTTAGAACACTTCTCTGTTAAAGATGAAGGAATTGACACATGATTAGCTGTGTGGTCAGCAGAACTGGGAAGAGATGCCAGTTTTCAATCTTTACAGAGCAGGTAAGGCTCTATCCATCAGGCATGTTTAACGTAAAGGTGTGTCTCCAAGTTGTTCAGTATCTTCTCATGCTGGAGCCTTACTTTCTTCAGCTGTACACCTCCTCTAGGAGGGACATCAGCTGGTAAGACCAAATCACAACACAATGTGATGATTGATAGGCTAATTCTTTGTTCCCTTTGCGCTTGAATTTCCTTAAACCCTCACCGTGGTCTTTGGGGACTCCCTTTTGTTGGGCTGCCTTCTATCAAATGAGAGAATGTGGAAAGAAAGCACTCTGCAAACTGTAAAGCACCACAAACACGTAAGGTATTATCAATCATCCCTACTGTGATTCACACCACAAAGTAGGGTTGTTCATTCATTCAGTTATCATTCTCAACCTTAATTATGGCAATACTTCCTCAGGTTTCTCAACACAAGTTGCACAGACCATGTCATAAATACCTTTTCTAAGCATTCATCTTCTCTTCAGGGGTCTGCATGGATAACTGCTGCCCTGCTGTCAATCTCTGTCAACTAGGGTCTACTCTGGGCTTATGCCACCCTCATTTTTTTCCTGAGCTCTCAGTGTTTTCTGAGAGCATTGGTAGCTGGTAGGCCAGTTTTCTATTACCAATGTTATTACTTACTTCTCTGTTGCTGAGCCCCTGGTTTTTTTTAACAGACATCTATGCTGCAGTTGGCATATCCCATCGTGTGCACCTTTTGGAAAAATGTCAACATCTCACCACAAAAGCTGTGGAGCCACCCATTCTGTGCTATTTTAGGCAGTATTGTGGGGGCTGTGGTGGTAGACTTGAATATACAGCTTTTGCTAGGGACTAGTTACCACCACAGATGTCTAACTACCCAGAAGAACTCTGACTCAGTCAGATGAACATCACTGAGAGCCTTTGGTCCTAACGGCTTGGGACTTTTCATCCCATTGCTGTTCACCCACCCTCCCTTCTCAACTACTTCAAGAAGGTCTCTGAGCCACAGTTCATTGTAACTATCGTTTATTAAAAAATATATGTCTCCTTAGAAGGAACACTGGTAAACCAACTAGTGTCATGCTTACTTTTAATCTTTGCTTTTCTTCCCTGGGAGGGGGAGAGGGTTGAGCATCATTCAGAATATATCACTCAGTTAACATCATCGAAATCAACACTGCTTGCTCACCCCCTCCTCACCAGAGTCATCATCAGCCATCACTTTATACTTCTTTGTCTTCAACCCAGTGTACTGCCGAGGTAAAGCTGCTGCCCTTTCTCTACCCTCTTCTGGGCCCCACATGTTAGAGTTAGCCTCAATATGCTGGCAGGATAACTGTTAACATATTTCCCAAATTTGGCTGGTAGTGCTTAAGCATCTTCCACATTGAGTTGTTTGCATTGATCATAACACAATGGGCTAGGAAACAACTGACTCAACCCTAGGGCCAAGCGTTTCTACTTTCTTCTCCCCTGTGTCATCCCTCCAGCATGAAGGGGAGGGAGGCACATTGGCTTCAAAGGAGCATAGTGGGGTGGGATAGGGCCTGAACCACACCTGCTGCGGTCAAAGAAAAACTCCCTGACCACAATCGCTGCCATCAGACTCCAGGAAAAAGCAACAAGGTTTCACATCTCACCAGTAAGTGAATCTTAGCTCTACAGCTCAAATTTACAGCATTTAATTCTACTTTGTTTTTTGAAGAAACAGTAAGCTACCAGATGTTGGTGAGGGGGCATATGAAGCAGCTGCAATAAAAGGCCCAAATCAAACTACTAATTGTGTGGCTGGCCAAGCCTAGTTCTGTTCTTTCATCTCAGCACAGAACTGGAAGGAAAATGACTCCCTCTCCCTGTCAGTGGCCCAAATGAAGTGGGTCCCAAGAAGGCGCCTCAGCTGAGGCCTGCATATCCCTGGCAGGTAAGTAAATGGACAGCATTGAAATGCTCCTCTTCTCACTTCTTACCAGCCTACACTTTCCCTTCTGCTGAGTAGAAGGCCAAGCCAGGGTCACCTACTATATCACAAGGGCTGGCTCCTTTGGAACATCATAAGCCTTTAGAACACTGTCAAATTGAATTATATGCATTCACTTAAATAGTAAAAGTAAAATTTGGAATAATGAAAAGGCTGACACAGTAGCACAACATGGTTTTGGTTTAACAGCAGCTTAAAAATGAACAAAAGGGAAACCCCTCATGCAGACACATCAGGTGGCATAAAACAATATGCAATTCAATATGGAGCATCATTAGCCATTCTCTCCCTTTCCACACACAGGACTGACTGCACCTCAAGGGCAGCAGCTGCTTCAGGGTCAAGTCTCCAGCCCTCTTGCTCCCAGGCAAAAGCCCTTTTTCTCAGGCCTCAAACTGACCCCCTCCTTGAGAAAATCTTAGCTCTCAAGAGAATGACCAAATGCATGTGCCCTCAGTATAGCACTTACTACCATTTTCAATTCCTTCCCAACCAGGTGGATTATAAGATGCCATCTGATTGGAATATGAAAATTAAAACATTTCTCTAATAACAGAGTACCACTGATGAAGTCTCCATAAATTTTCTA